CTAATTGTAAAGACATATAAAACTGCATGAAAATGAAGTAAATGGTTTCGACTTACAAAACGGTTAACATAAAGGGTTTCTGGAACATAAAGGTTTGAAATGTGAAGAAAGCGTTTAATGCAAGAAATCTGTAAATGATTTTAAGTAAAAGTATGCGTTCGAAAGACAAGACTTGAAGGTAAAGGTATGGAAAAATGTGACAGTTTTCTGAAATATAAAGTGCTCGAAATATAAAGAGAATAATAAAATGTACAACTTTGAGGAAGAGACTTCGAAGTGAAAAGACTGTAAATAAGAAAACTTGTAAATGTTGTTTGACAAAAAGAATAGAGGAAAGTACTGGAAATGGTAAAAGGTTTTCATTAAATCAGAAATACATGGTGCTATCATACATACATTTCTCTTGCATTCGTTTCCCTTGCCATGTGGTAGTTTGAATGTTATTGAGTATTTTGTATAATAGATATGACACACGAAATCCTAATACTAAGACTCCTATTTATACTAATTCGACCCTAACGGTCTCGCCATAGGATTATGCCACGTTTCGAACATGCAGGACAATGCTTCTTTTATCTTTCCACGTGTCCCCAAATGCTCCAACACATAACTTTCAAACTTTGAAAGTCCCGCTTCCATTTGAATTTTAAATGCTTTGGTGTTTCTCCGTTTTGAACGCTTTTCCCAAACACAGCCTCGCTGTTGTTTCGAGACTCCTTTAGATATGTTCCCATAATTGTCGTTCGAAGCTCCAAGCTTTGACACACTTATTCGAAACACTGCTTCCGCTACTTCGAAATATGACGTTTAATTCTGGTTCGATCAAAACGTTTAACTTATTTGGCTTCTAAATAACATTATCAAAATCTTCAGCCAACACCAAGGCAGTTGGTATTGGTGATATTTGTTTGCAGACCAACATGGGAGTGCAGTTGTTGCTGAGAGGAGTCAAACATGCTCCAGATATTCGCTTCAATTTGATTTATGTGCATATGCTTGATGAAGGTGGTTATGATAATCACTTTGGTTCTGGAAAATGGAAACTCACCAGAGGTAACTTGGTTATGGCTAGAGGGGAGAAAGATAATAAATTGTATTGGACTAAAGCATTGGTTGCTAAAAATAGTGTGAATGTCATGGATATAGAGGCTTCTTTGTGGCACCGCATGCTTAGTCATATCAGTGAAAAGGGGCTGAATTGTTTAGCTAAAAAGGATGTGCTTTCGGGATTGAAGAGTGCAGAGTTGGAGAAATGTTCTCATTTCATGGCTGGTAAGCAGACTAGAGTATCCTTCAAGAAGCATCCTCCCTCAAGGAAGTCAGAGTTGCTTGAATTGGTGCATTCTGATGTTTGTGGCCCGTTGAAGGTAAAGTCATTTAATGGTGCACTTTATTTTGTTACCTTTATTGATGATTGTTCCAGGAAGCTTTGGGTCTATGCTTTGAAGACAAAAGACCAAGTTCTGGAGAAATTCAAAGAGTTCCATGTTATGGTGGAGAGACAGTCAGGCAAGAAGCTGAAATGCATTCGTACTGACAATGGTGGTGAGTATTGTGGACCATTTAATGTTTATTGCAAGCAACACGGTATCAGACATGAAAAGACTCCTCCTAAAACTCCTTAGCTGAATGGTTTAGCAGAGAGGATGAATAGGACTTTGATTGAAAGAGTTAGGTGTATGCTTTCTGAAGCAAAGTTGCCTAAACATTTTTGGGGTGAAGCATTGTACACGGCAGTGCATGTTATTAATCTGAGTCATGCAATTGCTTTGAATGCAGAGGTGCCAGACAAAATTTGGTTTGGCAAGAATGTCAAATATGATCATTTGCGTGTCTTCGGTTGCAAAGCATATGTTCATGTTCCAAAGGATGAGAGATCCAAGTTGGATGCAAAGACAAGGCAATGTATTTTTATCGGGTATGGTCAGGATGAATTTGGCTATAAGCTATATGATCCAGTTGGGAAGAAAGCTCTTAGAAGTCGTGATGTGAAGTTCATGGAATACCAAACCATTGAAGACATTGATAAGATGGAGAAGACTACACCAGAGATTAATAATAGTTTATCTGATGTTGATCCAGTTCGGAGGCCTGTACATGATCTGGATACTGCTGAAAATAATATTCAGAATGATGAGCAACATGATGATGTTGGTGACCAGCAGCTTAGAGATGATGTAGATATTCCTGTTGATGATGCTGAAGAGGAACATGAGATGTCACAAGATGAAGATCTTGGTGATGCTCCTGAACCACCTCAAGCTCAACTTTGGAGTTCTAATAGGCAGAGGAAACCATCTACCAGGTATCCTTCTGATGACTATGTTACCTTGACAAATGAAGGAGAACCTGAGTGTTTTAATGAGGCCATGGAGAGTGATGAAAAGAAGAAGTGGATGGATGCTATGCAAGATGAAATGAAGTCTTTGCATGATAATCACACTTTTGATTTGGTGAAATTGCCTAAGGGCAAGAAGGCTTTGGAAAATAGGTGGATTTACAGGGTAAAACAAGAAAGCAATTCTACATCTCCAAGATATAAAGCCAGATTGGTGGTGAAAGGTTTCAGACAAAGAAAGGGTGTTGATTTCAATGAGATTTTTTCTCCTGTGGTGAAGATGTCATCCATAAGAACCGTGTTGGGTTTGGCAGCTACTCTTGATCTAGAGGTAGAGCAAATGGATGTAAAAACTACTTTCCTTCATGGTGATTTGGAGGAAGAGATTTACATGAAGCAACCTAATGGTTTTCTTGTTAAAGGCAAGGAAGACTATGTGTGCAGATTGAGAAAGAGCCTATATGGCTTGAAGCAAGCCCCGCGTCAGTGGTACAAGAAGTTTGAGTCTGTTATGTGTGAGCAAGGCTACAAGAAGACTACTTCTGATCACTGTATCTTTGTTAAAAAGTTTGCTGATGATAATTTCATTATCCTGTTATTGTATGTTGATGACATGCTTATTATTGGGAAAAATATTTCCATGATTGACAGGTTGAAGAAGCAATTGGGCGAGTCATTTGCCATGAAAGACATGGGAGCTGCTAATCAGATTCTTGGTATAAGAATCATGCGTGACAGGAACAAGAAGAAACTTTGGCTGTCACAGGAACACTATGTTAAAAGGGTGCTTCAAAGGTTCCAGATGGAAAATGCTAAGGCTGTAAGTACTCCTCTTGCTGCTCATTTCAAATTGAGTGTTAATCAGAGTCCTTCCAATGAAGCTGAAAAATTAGATATGCAACGGGTTCCTTATGCATCTGCTGTGGGGAGTTTGATATATGCAATGGTGTGTACAAGACCTGATATTGCACATGTTGTTAGTACAATCAGTAGATTTCTGTCTAATCCAGGTAGAGAGCATTGGAATGCTGTGAAATGGATTTTGAGGTATCTTCATGGTACTACCAGTTTGAGGCTTTGTTTTGGAGGTGATATACCTACTCTTGTGGGCTATACTGATTCTGATATGGCTGGAGACATTGATTCCAGAAAGTCTACTTTAGGCTACTTGATTAAGTTTGCAGGGGGAGCTGTGGCATGGAAATCCAAATTGCAGAGATGTGTTGCATTGTCCACTACTGAGGCAGAGTTTATTGTCATTACAGAAGCATGCAAGGAGTTGATTTGGTTGAAGAAATTCTTGCAGGAGCTTGGTTTTGTGCATGAAAAATACTTGCTATTTTGTGATAGTCAAGGTGCAATTCATCTTGGTAAGAATTCAACTTTTCATTCTAGGTCCAAGCACATTGATGTTAGGTGTCATTGGATACGTGATGCTTTGGATGCTGGGTTGTTGGAATTGGCCAAGGTTCATACAGATGATAATGGTGCTGATATAATGACCAAGGCATTACCGAGAAGCAAGTCTGAAACTTGTTGTGAGATCGCCGGTTTGGCGGTCACCTCCACATAGTTGTGAGGGGGAGATATGTTGGGTTTTGGGCTCCCATCCTATGTGGAGAAAGGCCCAATATGTGCAAGCCCATGTGTCTCACTTATCTAAGTGGAAAGGGGTCCATTAGGGTAAGAGTGAGAGGTCTGATTTAGGCAAGAGAGGCAAGAGAAAAGTGAGAGAAGAGAAACAAATTTTCGCACATACACATAGCAGCTGCATTAGAATCGCGATATCTCCTTCGTTCACCGTCCGATTTGGCCGAAATTTGATCTGCATGTTCCTGACATCCGGTTCTTCAATCTGAACGGTGTGATCCGCGATCAGAGGTCTGAGGTGGGAGATATTGGCCATGCACAGTAGCAGCCCTTTGGTGTTTTCTGGTTCTTCTTTGTTCTCTATTTCATGTTTTGTTGCCTTGTTGTTTTGGCTGATTGTTGAGCACGATTTGTGCTACATTTGAGACTCTCTTGTACCCATACATTGATCATAGTGGAACTTGTTTACTGACTTGTGCCCGTGGTTGTTTTACTTCTCATTTTGAGAAGGTTTTTTCTACGTTAAAAATCTTGGTGTCTCTTTGTGTTGTTGATTTTTAGTTGCTGTATTATTTGTTGTTGCTCCTCACAAATTCAATAAGTTGGGAAATTTATATCCGCTGAGTATTGCTCTATTAGAGTTGTTACTGTTAATTGTTGTTGAATTTCCCATAAGAAAAACAATAAGAAAAATGCATATAATTGAATGAAATTTAGGAAAAGTAATTTCATAGTACTGTTTTTATGGAACCTCATTCCCTTAAAAATGCTTTAATCACTTATGACTAGTGTGTCTAGTGGCTTCAAAATGACTCAAATAACAACACCGTTGATAACTTGATATCATAACATTCCCAATTGTTCTATCTGAAAGTTCCGTTTCCGTAACATTATTACTACTATAGTTCCAAATCCCGTAATACAAACATTAAGAACTATAGTAGTAGTAGGTATTTTTCTCAACTCAAAATCAAAACCAGTAAAAACCATTTTTCAATTTCCATCTTGCTATTTTCGTTGATTTAGGGTTTCTGCATTTCACTCCTTCATCCCAATCGCATTGTCGAACAAAATGGTGTCAAGTCCTTCTTCATCTGAGAATCACAAGAAGGTGAAATCATCATCAACAACACCAACAACAACGCCGAGTCCTTTGAGGAGATCTGAGAGACAGCGAAACATTTCATCTAATTTGAATCGTTCACCTTCTACTTCTACAACGCCGGTTTCTAAAGATAAAGAGGAGAAAAATTCTCCGAATAGGAAGAAATTGGATGCTCGTAGGTATCGAACTATTTTATCACAAAAGAAAAATAAAGGTAATGTCTGCTTTTTATTTTATTTTTTTGATAATGAGGATTATTTTATTGTAAATCTTAACATTAGCCTTTGCATGTTGCTGCTTAGGTTCCTATTTTTTTTTTTTTTTAAGTAAAAATTAATTGGTGTAAAGATGAGTAGTTATTAGTTGTTTTTGGAATAGTTGATAGAATTATATTTATATGTAGTGATTATGATTAATGAACTAGTTTTAGTCTGAGGTGACGCTATAGAATTGATTCGGGTTAAAAGTGAGTTGAACATATAGTGATTTATGTTTGGATACATATGAATTGACTTTTGGAAGAGCCAAAAGCAATTCTAGAGGTGTAGAATTGATTCTGAGCTGATTTTGAGGTGTCTGGTTTTTCAAAAGTAGAATTGATTCTGCCTCCAAAATTGATTCTACTTGAAGCTAGAATTTGTAGCTTATGAGTTTAAACATGATTTTTACACTGAAATTTGTTATTGAACTCACTTTTACATAAATGTATCCGAAAAAAAATCAATTTTGCCAACTCAATTCTATCAAAATCAGTTCTACCAAACTCAATTTTGTCAAAATCAATTCTATCCACCGTCAATCCAAACACACCCTATGTAAAGTGAGTTGAAGAACAAATTTCAGTGTAAAAATCACGTTTAAACTCAAAAGCTACAAATTCAAGTTTCAAGTAGAATCAATGTTGCAGACAGAATCAATTCTACTTTAGAAAAATCAAACATTTCGAAATCAATTCTATACCTCTAGAATTGCTTTGGCTCTTCCAAAAACTAAACCAAACATACACTAGTCTTCTAGAGCTGTTACATTGTTGTATAAGCTGGAAGAGTTTGTTAGAGTTCAATATAATAGATCAAAGACTCCGGTTCAATAGAATTTCGTGGTGATGAATTAATTAAAGAGTTGGTTAGAGCTCTGTTAGTGTGATGACTACAATGTTGGTTTTTTAAGTTGCTTAATAGTTCTTTCTGTTATCAAAAGAAACATAATTGAAAATGGTGCTTAGTGTGAGGTGTTCAAGTGTAATATATTGTTGTTTTTTGTATGGTTGTTTTATTATTTTTCTATTATTGATTGCTAGATTGTCAGGAGACAAATGATGAACATAAGTTGACTCCAAAAGATAGCGACAAGGGTGAGGGCAAGATTGATGAGTGCTATAAAGGGATTAGTTTGAGCTGTAAAGAAGTTTTTGAGGATTGTATTAAGCCATCTGAAGATGCCAAAGCAAAGGATATGAGTGCCAAGTCTATGTTGAGAGAACTTGTGAAAGAAACATTAGAAAGTAATGTGACAATAGGTTCAACGGTGGTTGCATCTAATTCCACTGCTCAACGAACTAGTGAGATACCTGAAAGAGTTAATTTAGATGGCAATAAAGAGGAGACTAGAGGTTCAGATTCAAATGTAAGTTTGATTAGGAAATGCGTTGGAAATGATAAGGGTGGAAATTTGACACCTTCCAAAAGAAAAAGCTCGGTGGTAGACAATGAAAATTTGACACCTTCTAAAAGAAAGAGCACGGTCGTAGACAAGCACTCTGATGTTTCTCATGCCTTGGATGCCGACCATGAAAGGCTTCGCGTCAATAGTTTAGAGACCAGTGGGCCTTCCAAAAGGATAAGGTAATTGTTATTTGCTTGTAAACTATGTGGAATTAAACAATGCTAATTTTTAAATAAAAGGGTTAAATATATTGTAGGCCCCTATAAAAGGGTTAAATATATTTTTTGAAACAAATACATATGTACAATTGTGATTTTATAGCACTAAATACATATTTTCCCCTAAATAATATGGAATAAGAGTTCTAGTCCATTCTTTGCTTGGAATTTTTGTTGTGCTCTGTTGCCTTTATTAAGTTTAGCTTTCATGTAGTCTCATGCCTCTTTTGTCTCTCTTAGAAAAAAATTAAGCTATATATTAAAAATAGGGTCGGCTTTTGTCCCTTGTCCCAAAGTCTCTTTTCTGTTTGCATTTCAATGCTATCCACAACTGAGCATTATCCCACTAGGGGGTTAGGCTGATGATACTAGTGATAATGCATTTTTCAAAGGTTTCTTCTATTGTTTTTGTAGATATACTGCATGCCCTTTTAATCAAATATTTCTCTATATTTGTTTCCTTCTCACTTAATCTAATCACTTTTCTATGAGAAAATCATATAAGAAAAATATGTGACATCAAGCTTCTTTTGTCCTTTTATAAATTTAGGACTTGTAAATTTTTTAGTGAAGTACATTTTCCTCCATTGAGAAAGGCTTAAATCAACTCTCCTTTACTCGTTTAAAAATTAAATTCCTCTCCCTTGACGATGGATATGTTACACTTCAGTCCATTTGATACAAACAAGCTTCTACATTTTCTCCCCATCTTTTTGTGATTTTTAACATCATCAATATCTTGCTTTATATGATTTGAGTATGTGTAGAAAAAACTTGTAAAAACTTCAGTAAGGAGGGTTGACCAGGTATAAGATAGTAAAATAGTTAGAGGTTGAGATAGAGACCAAGACAAACTAAAGGTCAAACCATGAATAGAAATTGGGAAGTAAATGTCTATCTTCAAACTAATATATGATAGGCAGTTACGGTGTCATACAAGCCATAGTAAGAAAAGGCTTGGTTTTTATTATTGTTGTTATGGTATATAAGAATGTGAAATAAATGTTCTGTAAGCTGTAAGAAGTTTCTGTTGCCAATAAATATGTTGTCAAAACATTAGTTGGTTCTCTGAAGTCCTAAAACCAATGTTAGAGGTATTCAAAGTTGTTAAAATGGAAAATTCATTAGGAGGCTTGTTTGTAGTTGCTCACCACCACATAGTGTTTGGTTGGGGTACATGAAGGCGAGGGAAGCAAAATGAGTTTGCTGACTCAATTTTGATTCCACTCCAATATTGGGATTTTGGAGAGGAGAGATGAGTTTGTTAAATTTTGAATGTATTAACGAAAATGTCCTTACATAAAGTGTAAAGTAAACAAAGGGTTGGATTAGTAAACTAGTCCTTCTCCTACATTGAAGTCCCTCCTCTTCCCCTTGTTATTCAAGCAAAGAGAGGGTTATTCCCCTCTCATGTCCTTGTCTCAACCAAACAAAATATTTAAGGAGATCCGTCCCCTCCATTAAAGTTCCTCTTATTTGAACTAAACAGATTGCAAAAGATTATTATGTTAAATGAATAGCTGGTAGCGCATATCATCTTTCAAGAGAGAGACTCATAGTTTTAAATTCAGAGGTGAGGATGGCATAATTTAAGCATCTCCCAGGGAAAGATTATGTACTTTATTCGTACTGTTTTAATGGTCATGTTTTTTTTAATTGTAGTTTTTTTAATAAAGTTTGTTCATTTTTTCTTTTGATTTATCAATTATATCGTTATGGTAAATTATTTAAATATTCAATTAAAATGTAAGGTGTCATATTATAATTTTTCTGTAAATAATACTACAAATTTAATAACTGTTCAACACATTGCAGTTTAACAAAATTTTAATGGATGATCACTATAAGGCAATTTGATGTAATGGATAAACTGAGTGACTCAAATGAACAAATTGAAAATATTAAGAACAAAAGTAAATGTAGAGAAAAAAAATATTGGGAAGAACTTAATTAAACGCCATAATATGTTTTTGTCAATCATATTACTTTTGGGCAGTATTGTATTGAAGTTTTTTAGTTTCTATCTTTACCCTTCTAGTCACATAAGCTTATTTTTCTAGCTTCTTTGATCTGGTTTCCTTAGGGGGATCAATAATGTTGATCAACCTACTTCAAAATCTAATGATGAAAAGTCATGTACCAAAACCAAGGAAGGTTAGTGATCTCTGTCATCTTTAAGTTTTGCTGTTATGGCTTTTTACAGTTGAACAAGATTGGAAAATTGTAAATTTTAATGTACCATTTGGTAATTTATCCCATGTGATTTACATCTTTTACTCTGTTTGTTTGTTCAAACGAATGTCAGAGAGACCTCAAGGAAACGATGATGAAACTGAGAAAATAAGGAAACAGCAGAGGAGCTTACATCTTTCACTGAAGCCAGAGATAGCAAAGCTTTGTGAAATTCTTCTTCTCCCAGTATGCTATTTGTTTTTTACTTTATTAGGTTTTACCTGCTGTTTTTTAGCCCCTGTTGTCCTTTATTGTTGACAAGATTACATTTTATTTCCAGATGTTTTATAACAGATTGTATAAAAACACGAAGATCAATTATAATTATTATGATTTAGAAATGCATCCAAAGTTGAAAGGGCCAGATCCTGGTTAAGTTGAAATAAATTGAATTTCTGCTTTTTCCTATTATTGGGGCAGTAACAATTTTTTATAACAAAAGATTAATATAATTTTGAAGTGGTGGACGTAAAACATGTAAGAATCAATTGATGAGAACATGTTTATGATATTATGATCTACTCCAAGTTTCTTGAGTTTTTGTGTTGATAGTTTTATTTTGCGGGAGAGCGTTCAACTGGTTCAAGTGTCATTACTCATTGATGGATTATTTATTATTTATTATGGAGTCATTGAACGTAGTGAAATAGCCGCAATAATGGCTTTACTTGTAAGAAATAAAACACGGATTAAAGATGACAAATGCAGAACCTAAGGAAAATAGAATGAGTACCTTTGAAAATAGTTTACATTTTTATAGATTTTTGAAAACCTTTGACTTTGAGTGTAGAAATGAATATTGCTGGGGATTCTTCTAATGCAACTTTATTTGCATCACAAAGGACTTTAAAAGATTTTATACTATCCCAATCTAAGCTATATTATCAGCAAACTTGATGATGTTTTAACATATCTTTGTGACAATGCAGGATAATGTCAAGAGTATGGTTGGAAAGTTTCTTGAATATACCATGAACAATTTCATGATCTGTACAGAACCAGTATCAATATTACAGGCTTTTCAATTATCTCTGGTACGAATTTTTCTTGAATTTTCATATTCAGTTTTCGCCCCCCTCCCTGTGTTTTTGTGATTGCTGGTAATCCAACGTCAGTTGTATAAGTTGATTGTTTTTGTGGTCATGTAAGAGTTGTTTGTTGATAACTTTGCTTCATTTTGTTTTGCATCTTCTGGAACTTGATTTGAATGGTTGACTCCCTTCCTGAATCCCATCAAATTATGAAGTGCATTATGCTTTGTTGGTTTGGTGTTGCAGAATGAAGAGGCGTATTTAAGGATTATTCTGTTATATAGGGATTAGTGTTACTCTTAGAAATTTGAAGAATAACATAATGAACTGTAAATATGCTTCTCTACTCTGAATCATTTAACTCAATCTTGGGAAAATCTATCACATAATCAATGTATGTTACTTGAGCATCTACTGTCACATTTTTTTGTTGCTGCAACCTTTATCGCCTACCTTTTTTATTTGTACTTGATCCAGCTGGTCAACTTCACGTCAGTTTTTTATGTTGCCTCCCTTGAAATTTAATGTAGTTGAGACTCTCATTGCTGGGTAGCATGGTCAGTCGGGTAAAACATGAGGCTACATTCAAGCCTCCACGTGCATGTAGTAGGCATTGGTTTCATGGTCAAGTAATTTGACTCAAAGTAACTCCAGTCCTTATTGTCTTAACAATGTGATGGGTTACAGCAGAAAGAAAGACGAAACTAAAGTAAGAATGTGGTTGTATTAATGTAATTTGTACAGAAAAATAGAAGACAATCAGATTGCGAGCTACCAGACCTAGCCAAGTGATTCCTTGACCAGAAAGTGATTATCAGTGATCCCTCTCACTTCTAACAGAATTCCAGAATGAATCCCACTCTCCCCTTGTTTCTTGTGTAACTAACTTTTCCCCATACAAGTCATTCCCCTCCTCACTTGCCAGCTCAGATTGTTTGCTATTCTCAAAACAAATTCTATAGCAAACCTGCCAAGCCTTGGACCTGTCATCAGGACTTGGTATCAGCTGGCCCAATTCTTCGACACAAGTTCTATCACTTTGATTCAATTTTTAAGATACTGAGATACTTAAAGGGTACCATAGGTTTGTGATAGTTACAAGCCTATTGAATACCAGCTGTCACTAATAGCTGTATGTTAGTTACACTAACCTGTGCACAGGATTAGAAGCAGTTACGGCTAACCTGCACGTGTGTACAGGATTAGCCTTTCTATATAAAGCCATAGTCATTATAATTGAGAATCAATAAAAACAGAACATTCTAGCATCAGAAATCTGTTACGAGACATTCTTAGATTTTACACAATTAAAATTTTCTCCCAACCGTTACATTTAATTAATTCTCTTCTTTTCTATGGGATTTTTTTATCTCTATCATTTTGTACCTCCTCTTTATTGCAATATGGTTACCATCTCAAAAGCCCATTTAATGTGGGAAACCCTTAGTTTATACAGTTTCGTAACTAAAAAATGCGTACTATTCATTTTATCACCTTCAATACATTTAACTGACAAGCTTTTTCTTGTACTGTTTCAGTGTTTGACCGCTGCTTCGTTGCTAAGCCACAAACTTGACTCTGAAGCTGCCCTCAATCTTGCAAAGCGGCACTTGAATTTTTCCTGTAAGAAAGATGCGGTTGATGAAATTAGTGCAATGCTGTGGGATCTAAAGGACAGTTTTTTATTACTCACTGGAAACTCTAATGCCAATTGCTCTCCAAAGGTTTCGGAATCATTGAAAAGGGTTCATTCGAATACAGATACAACATCATATGTTGAATTGACCAAAAAAGATATTTCCGAAATTTCTAGAAATATTAAAGTAAATCAGAATCGCAAAGAACAATGGAGAAAGCTACTTCATATTCAAATGGAAAATAAACGTAAGTTGGAAAAAGAAATTGAGAACGAAATGACTCATTTTAAAAAAATGTTTAATCTAGAGTGGAAAGCTACTTTACTTTATGAGAAGGAAAAAGATATGCTCAGAGAATTCAAAAGTAAATACAAAATAAGGGAGGCAACATTGAAAAGGGTGCAAGAAGCACGTCTCCAGGTTCTTGAGGCCAAACAGTTAGAAGAAAGGCAGAAATTCCGTGAGTCGTCAGCACCAGATGAATTGTCATACCTAGTTTCTTCGCAAGAACTTGGGACATCCCATAATGCTCCAACAATCCTTCTGTCTAATCAAGTGTCTAAAACTAGTTACAAACGGGGCACTGCCAGGGAATTGAGTAGGAAGGAAGCTGTGGGATTGCCCAGCAAAGTCAGAAGTACTGATTATCCAGAGAATGCAGCTCCTCTGTATTCTTTATCCACAGATCAAATATTTGATGAAGGTTTATATGGGGTTGTATCACCAAGGCATTGTAGTTCTTCTGGTCCAAGTAATGGCCATCCAGCTGCAGTTCCCATTTTGAATTCACCATCTACAATTCAAAAAGTTCCCGGTAGAGTCTCGCCGGCCATAAATAATGGACAAATACCAGTAACGGAACCAGAATTGAGTAGGGATGCAGCTGTAGGATTGCCCAGCACAATTAGAAGTACTGGTTATCCAGAGAATGCAGCTGCTCTGAATTCTTCACCAACAGATCAAATATCTGATGTAGGTTTAGATGGTGTTGTATCATCAACGCCTTGTATATTTTCTAGTCCAAGTGATGGTCGTCCAGCTACATCTTCCCTTTTGAATTCACCTTCTTCAAAGCAACAAGTTCCCGATAGAGTCTTGTCACCCGTAACTGATAGACAAATATCAGTCGTAGTGCCAGAAAATAATCATAAAGAGGCTGAATGTCAAATAACAGACAATGTGGAAGTGAATGAGAGTACTACATCAAACTACCAGGAAGGAGTAGACAGAACCATGGCAGAAAACACTCTGTCCCAGGAGACTTCAGTATCTAGAGCTGTGGATCCCATTGAACCTCAAAAACAAGTGCAAGGGCAGCCATTATCATCTGTAGAGCCTCCGCCTAGTCCAGTTCATATTTTACCTGCATATCAATCCACACAAGTTTCATTGGTCATGGAGCCTCCAGAGCAGGTGCAGCAGGATATCTCTAACATGCCTTTGGCGGCTGGAGGTGAAGATCAGCCAGCAACCAGTGAAGATTCTTTCTCCAGCCAGATTCCTGAGGCATCAGCTGAGGTTCAAAATCAAGCCGCCGAGCAACCTGCCTTGAACTTGGAAGCTGATTCACATTGGTATCAAGTTGTGCCTCCAGTCTCAGACATGGTCCTTGATTCACTTGTGCCTGGTGGAGTCAGAGCCCAGTCATTAGACACAAGAAGTTTCTCAACTCACAGAGTTATCAATAATCATTCTATTCAAACTCCAGCACAATCAGCTTCAAGGAATTTTCCATCTATGTTCTATGATCCACTTAGTTATGAATTGGAAAGAATACGTAAATCGACAAAGCAAAATCTGAAAAAACATGAAGATATGGTTAGCTTCTGTCCAACCCATTGCTGTGAGAATACCTATTTAGGTTTTATATCTTATACCTTCCTTTTATGATAAATAACTGCTATATTATTCTATTTGCTGGAACAGAAATTACAGCTGAAATGTAATTTTGAGAAGGAAATTGAAGAACTTCGCAGGAAGTATGATATTCAAATGAAGGAGATTGAAGTTGAATATCAGAAAACAAGCAAGAACTATGATACACAATATAAAACAGTTTATGTACATAAAATATTGGCCGATACTTTGAAGGCTAATTCTGATCCTAGGTTTTCTGGTGAATCGGGAATGCTGCAAGGTATAGTCCCTTATAGTGAGTGCATTTATTGTTGAAATGTCTATATCTATCATTCTCTTATCTTGACTATTAATTTGTTACCCAAGTAAAAAGTATATTTACTGCTCGTAAACACAGATATTTGTGGAGATTTATTTGCAGCACAATGTAGTGTTTCTTCTATTGTTTAATTACTATGTATTAGAGAAATTTTCCCCTTGAATGACGGGTGAAGGGTATTTGATACCAAGCTCGCGGGCATACAATGCATGTCTGTAGCTTTTGTTTGTTGGAACAAAGGTTTCAAGAAAGATGATTTTGTGAAAATAAATTGGAGAAGAAGAGAGAGAGAGAAAATATTGTGAGTTAGTTAAGTGTAACTAACTATCTAACTGAATGTATTATATCTGCTCTTTTATTACAAACACAATGACCCTTTATATAGGCAAGATGCCCAGGCCCAAATGCACATGCTAAAAGCCCAAATAACTACATAACAAGAATTAACCAACTAACACACCCCCTTAATTCATGTTATCAAGACTTCTCATCCCGATGCCTTTCTTTAACTCTTCGAACCTCACTTTCTTCAGAAGTTTGGTGAATATGTCAGCTAGTTGCACTTCTGTCTTGCAATGTTTTATTTCAAGCTTCCCTTTGTTGACTTGATCTCTCAGAAAATGATACCTTCTTTCAATGTGTTTACTTCGACCATGACACACTGGGTGATTCACAAGGTTTATAACTGACTTGTTATCAAACAGCTTCATCTTCTATTCCATTATTCTGAGTTCTTCAAGTAGCATTTCGATCCATGCTGCTTGGCATGCAGCATATGATGCAGCCACATATTCTGCTTCGCATGATGACAAAGTCACAATACTTTGCTTCCTCGAACTCCAGGAGATTGGAGCTCCTTCGATCATGAAAATGTATCCTGCAGTACTCTTCTTTTCGTCTTGACCTCCACTAAAATCTGAGTCAGTGTATCCATGAACTTCGACATCTGAATTGTTCTTTGATTTCTTTGGTACCAGCACACCATGATCAATAGTTCCCTTTATGTATCTCAACACCATCTTTACTGCGATGAGATGACATTCTTGAGGCTTCTCCATAAATCTGCTCAACAATCCTACACTTTGACAGATATCTGGTCTAGTATTACAAAGATACCTCAAGGATCCAATGATTTGTTTATATAGGGTCGAACTTACAAATTCATTATTCGATTCCTTTTTCAGCTCTGCTCCAATCTCTAATGGAGTAACAGCTGCCTTACAGTTGTTCATATTGAACCTCTTTAGTATATCTTGAGCATACTTCGTTTGATGCAAGAAAACTCCTTATTCGATGTCTCTGAATTCCATTCCCAGGAAATAGGAGAGATTCCCTAAATCAGACATTTCGAATTCCTGCATTAACTTTGACTTTACCTTCATTATCTCAGCTTCGTCTGCTCCTGTAATGAGTAAGTCATCAACATAGAGACATAAAATGATTCGGTTGACACTTTCGACACCATTTACATATACTCCATGTTCAGACACACACTTTATGAAGCCTGCTTTGATTAGAAAGCTATCTATCCTTTTATTCCAAGCTCTAAGAGCTTGCTTCAAGCCATAAAGAGCCTTCCTTAATCTGTAAACTTTCGACTCCTACCCTTTGACGTCGAAACCTGGTGGTTGAGTAACGTAGACTTCTTCTTCCAATGGACTATTAAAAAATGCTGACTTTACATCAAGTTGGTGCATTTTCCATCCTCTACATGTAGCTATCGAAACAACAATCCTGATTGTTTCGATCCTCGCAACAGGCGCATATACTTCATCAAAGTCAGGCGCATATACTTCATCAAAGTCAGACGCATATACTTCATCAAAGTCAATACCAAGTTTTTGTAGAAAACCTCTGGCCACCAGTCTTGCCTTATACTTTGCAATCTCACCATTTGGCCTTCGTTTCACCTTGTAGATTCATTTCACATCGATTGGTTTCTTGTTGGTTCTTTCAACAAGCTCCCGAGTCTTGTTCTTCTCAATGACTCTAAGTTCTTCTTTCATGGCTTCACACCAATTCGAATTGCTCAAGGCATTGCCCAAATCAATTGGTTCTGCTTCAGCCATCATCATGACTTCTTCGATTAAGTCACCATCTGCATCGATTGCTTGATCTGGAAACCTCTCATATCCAATCAGCCTAGTCGACTCAATTCTTGTTCTTGTGGATCTTCTTTCATTCTGCACAGGTGGTTCTTCATTTTGATTTGTCGAAGCTTCGTTCTGTTCATCTTCTTCGAACACAGTTGTGACTGTGTCTGATTCTTGTCGAACTGAACTTCGACTCCAATCCCACCCTTTGCTTTCGTCTACAAGAACATCTCTACTGATCACTAGTTTTATCTTCGATTGGTGAATGCATCAGTCGAGTGATAACCTATGAGCACCATGACTTCACTACGATCATCCAACTTCTTTTTCAATTATTCAAGTACATGTCTGAAACACATTGGTCCAAAAACTCTAAGATGACTTACATTTGGCTTCGACCCTGTCCATGCCTCGTGCAGTGTCTTTTCGACCATCTTCTTCGTTGGACATCTATTTAGAATGTATACTGCTGTAGAAGCTGCTTCAGCCCAAAATCTCTTAGGCATATTCTTAGCTTTTAACATACATCTCGTTATGTTCAGTACACTTCTATTCTTTCTCTCAGCTATGCCATTATGCTGAGGCGTATAGGGTGCAATAACCTCATGCTCTATACCTTCCTCATTGCAAAATTAGCAAATTCAGCAGAAGTATATTCATCACCACCATCAGTTCTTAACTTCTTCAATTTGCAGTCACTTTGTTTCTCAGCATGTAACTTGAACTTCTTGAACTGTGTGAATACCTCACTTTTCTTTTCAATAAGGTAGATCCACATATGTCTGGTGAATTCATCAATGAAAGTAAGGAAATACCTGTTACCCCCATTCGACTTTACTTCAAAGGGTCCACACACATCTGAATGAACTAGCTCCAGTTTTTGCCTTGATCTTATAGGCAAGTCACGTTTGAACCCCTTCCTTGCCTGTTTGGCTTTCCAGCATTCCTCACATCTATTTTGGTTCCTTCACATACGACAACCCAAGCACCATTCTTTTCTGATTGAGCATACATAAACTCTTGAAGTTTAGATGTCCATACCTATGATGCCATAGCCAGTTCTTGTCTTCTTCTGTAGTTGAAGCAAGACATTTGTGATCTGATGTGTTGAGTTCAACCTTGAACATTTTGTTCTCCACCAATGGTGCTTTCATTATTAGCCTCCCATCAGTCCTATATACCTTCATCTGATTATTCTCCAACTTCATATTGAAACCTTTTGCAAGTAATTGACCTACACTTATCAAGTTACTTGTCATCGAAGGTACATATAGAACTTCAGTGATAGTAGCCTTTCGACCATCCTTTCTGATAATCGAAATATCTCCTTTATCACCTGATTTGATATGCCTGCCATCTGCAAACTTTATCACCTTTTCGATTGACTCGTCTAACTTGGTAAACCAGTTTTTATTGCTAGTCGTGTGGTTGCTACATCCTGAATCCAAATACCACATGTTGTTTTTCTCAATAGTCGATTGAGTGTTCACCAGCAACAACACATCATCAGAATCACTATCTCCAGCTCGTGCATATTGAGCTTCATCACTATCTTTCGACCTTGCAGCTTTCTTTCTTCGACAGTCTCTAGCATAATGGCTAAAACCTTGACAATTGTAACATTGCACCTCTTTCGTGTCAACTTTCTTCCCAGAATACTTGTTGCCCACACCTTTCGAATCAATATTCTTGCTTGACTTCTCATCACCAGCAAAATTCTTTCGCTGCTTCGACTTCTCTTTTCCAGCTTTCTTGCTGAATCTTGATTGCAATGCTTGTTCAACTGCCTTCTCTCTTTCTGAGTTTCTCTGCTGCAGCCTCATTTCGTTAGCCTCCAATGAAGCTTGAAGTTCTTCCAACTTCATCTCAGATAGATTCTTGGCCTCTTCAATTGTCACAACAAAGTAATCGAAATCTGCAATTAAGGATCTCAATACCTTTTCTATCTTTTGCAGATTCGTAAGCGCTTTACCACATGCCTTCATCTGGTTTGTTATCGTTACAACTCTTGAGAAATATGCAGAAATAGATTCATCCTCTTTCATCTGAAGCATCTCGTACTGCTTCCTCAGTGTCTGTAACTTCACCTTCTTCAGTTTCTCATCTCCACCATACAAAGATTTCAGCTTTTCCCAAGCTCCTTTTGATGTTTCTTCTTCAATTATCTTCTCGAATATGTCACAATCCACACACTGGTGAATAAAGAATAGTGCCTTGCCATCTTTCTTCCTCTGATCTTTGTGCGCAGCTTTCTGGGCTTCCGTAGCATCTACTTCCAGTTATGATATTCCATCATTCAAGATTTCTACGACATCTTGAAATCTGAAAATAACCTTCATTTGCGCAATCCACCGTTGATAGTTTTCACTTTTGAAAACCGGTAGGTTCGCTGGAAACTGTAATGATGTTGTTGATCCGTTTGCCATTAGATTCTCTCTGAATCGTAAACAAACTCTTGATACCAATTTGTTAGAACAAAGGTTTCAAGAAAGATGATTTTGTGAAAACAAATTGGAGAAGAAGAGAGAGACAAAAAATATTGTGAGTTAGTTAAGTGTAACTAACTATCTAACTGAATGTATTATATCTGCTCTTTTATTACAAATACAATGACCTTTTTTATAGGCAAGATGCCCAGACCCAAATACACATGCTAAAAGCCCAAATAACTACATAACAAGAATTAACCAACTAACATTGTTGGTGCTATCAGTCTTTTTTCTTTACAATGAAGATGATCTATGCATTTGCTTCTGTTGTTTTTAATGTTGGCTGTTTGGATTCTCATAAATTTCAAGGGGAGGATTTATTTTAATTAAGTATGCAATTGTACATGGACAAAACTTAAGCATAATTCTTTAGGTGTGGTTCTTACTATTTTCCAATGTAAATATGACAAGTGTATAATTTTTTTTTACACATACAAATTACTCTTATTTTCACTTCTTAAATGATATTTAAGTATACTTGTCGAATTTTCATTGGAAAAGAATAAAAACCACACCTAAAGAATTGTACTTAAGTTTTGTCCGTTGTATATTTGTCTCTACTGTGCTTGTGAGCACATTCATCTCATCTTTTTCATGTTTTACTCATTTATGGCCAAAACCTCTTGTTTATCTTTTTCTAACAATATTATATTAATGCCGGATGCAGGTTTTACCCAACCTCCAAGGCCGCAAAATCCTACTCATCCCTCTATGGTTGCTGGACCATCTTGTCGCGGACCTCCTGCAACCACTTTCCAGAATTCACACGCCTCAACTGGCTCTCATGCTAGGTTGCCATCACCTATACATGCCTCTTACAATACACAGGGAAATTTCAGCGGTTTTTCTGCAAGACCACCTCATATCAATATCTCTTCACCTAATCTTCAAGCTGGTGGGGAGATAAGTGTCCCTCCACTGCATCCCCCGCCTTATAGACCCTCAACATCAGTACCAGCCTCCAGTCTCATGGGGGAGTTCCGTGGCCCTCTACCTCCTCTCCAGCCTTATAGACCCTCAACATCTGTACCAGCTTCCAGTCACAGTGGGGAGATCCGTGCCCATCCACCTCCTCTCCCGCCTTATAGACCCTCAACATCTTTACCAGCCTCCAGTAACAATGGGGCGATGTGCACTCCTTCACCTTCAACATCTTTGCCAGCCTCCCGTCACAGTGGGGCGATGCGCACCCTTCCACCTCCTCTCCCGCCTTATAGGCCTTCAACATTTGTCCCAGCCTCCAGTCACAGTGGGGCGATGCGCACCCCTTCACCTCCTCTCCCACCTTATAGACCCTCAACATCTGTACCAGCATCCGGTCACAGTGGTGCGATACGTGCCCCTGCACCGCATCTCCCGCCTTATAGACACTCAACATCTGTACCAGCCTCCAGTCTCAGTGGGGAGATACGGGCCCCTGCACCGCATATCCCACCTTATAGACCCTCAACATCTGTACCAACCTCCAGTCTTGGAGGAGTTCCACATGGTATGCCAAGTCACCCTGCACCTAGTAATGCTCCTGCAAGTTCTTCATTATCATCTCAGAGGCTTCCCAGTCCAATGCCAGCAATCTCTCAGTTTTGTCCTCATAGGGGGCATGGTTATGAGAGCACAGGTGGGTTCCCCACTCGTAATGTATCTGCCACGGATATGCGCATGAATGCTAATAGTCAATCTAGCATTAATCTGCCAAATACTTTGCCACATATGTCAGATTCGGCATCTTTGAATCATTCTCAATTTAACAAAAGTAGCAGCGATCCGGCCAACTCAACCCAAGAAGCGACACCTTCTGATGTTGTCTGTTTATCAGATGATGACTAACCAGAGCAAGTGTTCATATATATTTTTTTTTCAGATTTGTCCTCACTAGGAAATGATACAAGCTCCTTTTTCTGCCACTTGAATTTAGGACAGAACTTTGGTGATAATGATGCCTCGCTCACCAGTTTTTGTTTAGTGCATATTTGTAATCATTAATTTACACAATATGTAAATATATAACGCATATGTAATTCAAATTCCTAGGTATCTTGGGGATTGCAATTAATAGCTGTACGCTTAAATGAAACAGCGATACAATATTTTGATAAAAGTATAGGATGACCAAGAGAATTATTTGAAATCCAGAAGTTTGTTTTTAAAAACCATGTTAATGTTAAATCCATTTTAATCAAGTTAGTCATCGACCGAGTATTTAATCATTAGTATAAACCAATGTAATATTTGCAACAATAACACATGTTAGTAATTGATTCAGTAACAATTTAGTCATTGACATAAACTCAACCATCCGCAATGCTAATTCAAATAGGGTAAATAACTGAATCAAACCTATAAGGATGGCAATTCGACCCATCCTAAGTGGGTATTTACAAAAATTATTCACAATGAATATGGTAAAAATTCACAAAACGGGCATGGGTATAGACAATTACCTATTAAAATATGCGGATATGGACATAAGTACGAGTATCTTAGTACCAGCCCCTTATCTACATGATATATATTTATATACTTTCATTTTTATTATTATATAAATATATATTTTTATCAAATTTATTAAATACACCACTATTAAATTTGTAAGCATTTTAATATAAGTGTTTGTTTATTTTTTTTAACATAACAATAACATTCTTAAATTTTTTTAATGTTAAAAACTTAAAATGACATGAAAAATTATATGATTGATAATTTTTTATTAGAAATGCGGGTAAGCGGGTACGGGTATGAGTATATAGCTACCCATAGGATATGAGCACAAACTTAAATGTTAGAGCCTATGCGAGTATGGACTCAGGTACAAGAATTTTTTTAAACTGCAGGTATATGGATGAGTACTATAGTATCATGCCCATATCCTACCCATTGTCATCCCTACTAACCTATCATTATCTCTATAATTTCGTCTTTAAACTATACCTATAAAATAAAAAATATTGAAAGTATTTCTGCCTTGGACATTCACTATGTTCGCAATTCAATAACATGTGAGGTCTAAAAGCATGTGGCCCGATAACAAGACATGTGAGGCCTAGAAGTGTGTGACCCAATAACAAGACACATGTGAGGCCCAAAAGCGCGTGTAACAATAACAAAACATAAACCGGCCTTTATGTTATGTCACAATGAGATTAAATCAATGACGTCAAGAGAAAAATGTCCCACCAATATCGTAGTTATAGATTTTAAGAATGTTTTAGGACCTTAGAGATAAACAATCTGCCCTGGGATAACACTTGATCCAAACAAATGACTGGAGAAGAATCGTTAAGTGATATAATAAATTATACCATAACATCTATTTATTTCGACATACTTTTATATTGAAAGATTCTAGTCCTTCAGAAACATTAGATAATCCTATAAAATGGACCTCAAACGTCAAATTAAGGTACTCATGATTTTCTTACCTAAATACTTCTCACATTCAACAATCACTAACTCATCGAGACATAATGTTTGTAGGTACACCCTCTTTATGGTCGATAAACCACATACAAAATCTCTTTATGAAGTTGTCTACACCTAAATAACTTCACAACCACATGAAGTATACCTTACCTTTATCGTTCAACCACCTAATGTTAGAATGGAAAATAGAGGAAAAAAACAAGTCATGAATCCAACCGTCCATGATTTATTGCTAGCGAAGTCACGAGGAAAAATTTAATCTTGAAGAGAGGGTCTCACAATATCCTCCTCAAACCCAAAAAATCGAATCTAACCTCTACCAACTATTAAAACAATCTTTTTCTCTCCACTGAATGGAAAACCTCTAATACCAATGGAGGGAAACTTAGATCCACACTCTATTGGGTGCACAAACACACCTCATATTTTCACTATGGTAGACCAAACGACAAATGTTGAAACAAACACTCTAATGAGGAATTTGTTTGTCGTTGTAGATAGACAATTTGCAACCCTGTCGTTTCTAAACGATCAACTTCGAGGGGTTGTAATTTTAGGTCTCGACCATTTTCTATCACCCATAATCTAGAATGGCGTATTATTAAATCATAGTGACGAATCCTTCAGATACCATAGACTTCGATGTCAATAGAGACACATAACGTGTTCCCTTATTCCAAGAAGGGTTTTTCCATCAGAGTCGAAATGCAAAGGCAACTGACCGAGACATCGTGGTCACCATCCCCTACACACCTCACGTTCCTCATCCTTTGATGATTTTGAAAAGGATGAAGACATTTCATTCTGAAATACATTTGGAAGGAGAATCAACGAGTATCCCCGTCAGGAGGGAATTCTATAAACAACTTAGAATGAGAACATATGACGGGAAGATTGACCCCGATGAACATGTAGAGCTTGTTGACGTCGTCTTGAACTTTAAGGAAGTGATAAGCCTTGAGAAGTATAGACTGCTTGTCCTCACTCTAAATGTAGGGGTTATGGATTGGTTTGTGGGATTAAGGGACGAGTCAATCAATTCATATGGATAACTTCACAATGTTTCTTCATGTATTTCATTGCATTTTGAAGGTAACCCAAGTTAGTAGAAAGTATAGGATCCATCAATCAAGGGGATGGATGGACCACAGTGATCCTACATTGAAAGGTTCAACAGAGAAGTAATACTAGTCAAAAGCGGTGATGAGGAGATGAAAAATATATGTCAAGTCTCAGACTCCAACAAAGATCTAAAATTTTCAAAAGTATCATAATAGGGTCCCAAAACTTTCAACATCCTACTTGCATGGGTTTAGAATCATATACAATACGAAGAAAAAACGACCACAAGTAAAGAGATATACGAAAAAGGGTCCGAGAAGGACGAGACAAGAAGAAGAGGAACCAAAGAAACCAGACAAGAAAAAAAGGATAATAATCTAAGAAGGATCTCAGTCTAGGTTGAAAGGGAAATGAGGCACCACCGTGAAGATACAAGGATTGCGCCTATTTAAATGAATTAAGAGAGCACATTCTACAATTAAGCATTAACATTGAATTTGGGGAAGAGCAAGTTGACGCACAAAATACAATTTGAGAACACCCTAGAATTGATAAATCTCGGTACTCTTGTTTCCACATATGTAATGGTTACAACACATAGGATTGCATACACTTGAAGGACACCATTGAAGATTTAATCAGAAAATGAAGGTTATATAGATTCACCTACCAAGACAAGAACAACTCCAAATAAAAGATATAAGATGAGAAAATATTATAAATAAGAAGGATTGAATTGACCCATGTTAGACGATGCCAACTTTTTTAGAGGGGGTAAATAGATCCCCAATGAAAACTATGACAAGTGGAAGCCATATCCTAGATCACAAGTCGTCCAAACCAAACCGATTATTGGAGGCTCAGATATGCGCATAATCAATACTCAATTGAATGATGATAATAAGATGTTGATACAATAAAATCTCAAGTAATTGTTTTACAATTACAAGACCAACCAATATCTAATAAAATAACTGATAAACCTAAGTGAATCAATTTATTGAACACTTAGTGTGCAGTTTGCAAAACTAACTGGAACAATTTATGAAACACTTGGTGTGCACCTAATTTAAGATTTTCCTTTGATCTTTGTTGGTATAAAAAACCTCCTACAATCTAATAGATTGTAAGGTAATCAACAAAGAACTTTTAAACAATAAAAGAATTTGTCTATACTAATTAATTGCACAATCAAAGAACAAATTTTCTTAATAAAATGTAAATGATAT